CCCCCCAGGGGGGCCCCGAGCTCACAGCCCTCCTGCGTGGCACCCAGCCTCCGGGGTAGGCGTGTCTGCAGGAAAGCCGGCCGCCCAGTGTCGTCTGGGACAGTAGCGGCGTCTGTAGCCAGGTACGGATGACATGCGTGTGTTGAAGCTCCCCCGCGCTGTTCCCCCGGGGCTGGTGGAAAGGAGCTTGCACAGCCCACAGTGTGCGCCTTATGCCCGCCTGAATGCGCCGGAAGCCCAACAACACTGGCAGGTGCCCCAGACCTCGCTGAAACCGGGCCCCAAGTAGGCCTAATGGGCCGGCTGGCATTCAAGCAGCACGAGAGGCAAAGGCCCAGCCGGCCGGAGGTCCGGCCCGGAGAGACACACTAGACGTTGGGGCTCCTTCTCAATCACTTTTTTCCCTAAGGGGTCAGGGCGAATGAAATGCAGTTATTGCGTGTCAATATGAGAGCGTTAAGGCCATCAGGGTTCTGCGAAAGCCAGCAGTCGAATAGCTGTTGACTCCCAGCCAAGCCCAAGCCGGGGAAGCCTGGCCCTGCTCCTGGCTGGTGCCTCCTCCCGGCGGAGCCCCTGTCTGCGCCTCTGCCCGTGGTCTTCACCACAGGATGTCTGTGCGGTGATCAATCCACACCCCTGCAGAGACCATTGCTAACTCCCTGCAGCCGGGGCCCGTGTGACACAATCTAGCAGAGACGTGATCCCAGGTGGGGAAGAACGCCATGATCACCGTGGAAAGTCCTTTCCTCTCTCCCTCTCAACGTTCACCCGAGCCCCGTAGCTCAGGGCAGCCAGCCCCTAGGCACACTCCTTACCTTTGTGGGCATGCTGAAAGGGTGACAGGGTGCTGCTGCCCGAGGTGCTGGGGGAATTGGCAGAAACTCCCGACGTGGCCCCCACACCTGCAACGAGAACCAAGTCCCTCGAGGGATCCGGAGACGCGCCACCTCCAAAGACGGAAAGCCGAGACGTGGGCACAGAGCTCCCGGATCTGGGCTCAGGGAATTCAGGGGGTGGGGGCAGGAGGGCTGAGTGTTCCTCTTTCTTGGAGTGTTTTTTTTTTTTTTTTGAGTTGGAGTCTCACTCTGTCGCCCAGACTGGAGTGCAGTGGCCGCTCCCGGCCAC